CTGTAGGAAAAGGAAGGGGCCAGAGAGAGTCAAGAGATGAGCCTAACAAGTTATTGACAAAACACAAAGGGAGGCAGTACTTTTCAAGACAATCACAGGCGGTACAGAGCATATGGAAAAATCCCATCTTTCAACATTTTTTTCACTAACACCAATTCTGTCACTATGCCAAATAATTTTCCTTTATGTTTATAAGGACCTCAAACAACAATTGTTACAGCAAACAAAATACTGTTTACCAAGAAACAATCTGAAATAGTGACAATCCAAAATAAATTGAAAAATACACCGTCCTATCTATAGGAAAAATACAAGTTAAGAGACAAGCGAAAGGAGATCTTCATTGCCCAAATCCTGACTGATCTGCTTTTAATTCATGGGAAAACAGGATCTGCATGATGTTAATTGGTCAGGCATGGAATGCCCATTAACTGAAGAATACAGAAAATAATGCTGGAAGCGGGTTTTAGATACTGACTGAAACATTTCTAGAATAACATTGATTTTTTAAAAAAACATATTCTTTGGCCATTTATATTGTCTTTTAATTAAACAGGATTTTTTTCTTTTGAATATTTAAACACCAAAACACCATTTATTTCAAGATATATTGGAGAAAACAACATTCATATCAGTAACAGATATGAAAGAAAGAAGGACTAATTGAAGCAGTGTTACTGAAGGAATATTTATCTTAAAATTAATTGACTCTAAAGCAAAGATAGACATCAAAAGAATCATTTAATACTTCCTATTCTGAGTTGAATGAAGCGGAGCATGGAGTTGGAAAGTTGAAGCATTTGAATGAATGTCTGCTTATTTTACTACTCACAATTTTCTCAAATGACTTTAATCCCTTTTGGGAAGGTGACTTTGAAGAGCCCCTTCTGTTATTTTCATATAGGAAGTTTGAAATGGAAAATTGAAATTGAAAACTTACTTTTAAAACTCATGAAGTTTTAAAGTTTTTTTTTTATTCTAAGCAATTTTAAAAATATAACGTTTATGTTAGAAAAAGCAAGGCTAAATCAATTCATTATAAGCAGAGAAATGATATCAATCCAAATGTGTTTGGGATGCTGCCCTAGGAATTTAGGCAGATTTTCCTATAAAAGCACTCTATTTTGGTGAAAATAGAGGGTCAAGTGCAACTGAGTATAAAGAAGGCCTGTACTACTAGGTTTATAATACACATAAGAGAGAGAGGTGCTCAGACTTGGGTTGCATTTTACCATTTGAGTGGGGACTGCTATGCTGAGACAGGTTTGTGGACCATTTCAGATCAGTGGTCTGTACGGTTAGAAGACCCACTTGTCCTCCCAAAAAGATACTTTCACTCTAAATATAAATCAACATTCCTTGCCTATTAATACTGTTTCTATCATCTCATCATTTAACTACACCACTCTTAAATCTATTTCTATTATTGGACAATGCCCCTTCTTGAGACAACAGACTTGAAAATTCATTACCTATTGACTCAAGCTTCCTCTCTGTTGTAAAAGCACATCTCTAAGAGTGAAAGTTCCAGCAAGACTCCAACTAGGAAAGTTTTATCTTCATGACTCTCATAGAGTCTAGCATGATATTGTGCATATAGTAGGCTCTTAATAAATATATGCTAACTGACTATTTGTGGATTTGGATAGGAAAAAAAGACCACTTTTGTTTTATCTGCATCTTTGCCTTCTGTAGAAAGTGCTTATATTGTTTGGTTTTTGTTCTCCTATATGCTGTCTTCATATTCTTTGCCAATTGAAAGAAGCTACAGTATTTGAGTTCGATTAAACAGCATACAATCTTACTAAACTTCAAAGTGTTTCTGTATTGTGACTTCCCACAAAAACATGATGTCAAAATGTTTTGGAACAAAATCATAGGCTGATAAAGAAGAGTTCAAAATCAAATTACACAATTATTTTATCAAATCATTCATTAAACATGTCAATTGTTCCAAGTTTAAAACATCAATTTGGGCACATTAAAATGTTACATAAAATGCCTCATAAATATGGATGCCCTTCAAAGAAAATCCCCAAATTAGCCATGGAATTTTCAGTTTCATTCATAAAATCTTTCCTGTGAGTTTTAAAGATATTTCTCAAAGTATGAACATAATATTTCCAAGGATTAAAGGACTATAAAATATAATCTGGAAAAAAATATACCTAGCTGTAGTATTATTATTTTTTTTTTTTTTTTTGAGACAGAGTCCCGCTCTCTTGCCTGGGCTAGAGTGACGTGGGGTCAGCCTAGCTCACAGCAACCTCAAACTCCTGGGCTCAAGTAATCCTCCTGCCTCAGCCTCCCGAGTAGCTGGGACTACAGGCACACGCCACCATGCCCGGCTAATTTTTTCTATTTTTAGTTGTTTGGCTAATTTCTTTCTATTTATAGTAGAGACGGGGTCTCGCTCTTGCTCAGGCTGGTCTCAAACTCCTGAGCTCAAGCAATCCACCTGCCTCGGCCTCCCAGAGTGCTAGGATTACAGGCATGAGCCACTGCACTCGGCCTAGCTGTAGTATTTTGACTGAGCTACTTATCCTTGTCTTTGCATTTTTGAATCATTTAGAAGACATGTAAGTTCTAGTTTGTTAGGTCATCTAGACATACAAGTTCTTTTCAGTTAAATCAGTCATTTTTTTATGATAGGATGTATTATAATATACATTACTTTTTTCTAACTGAACAGGATTTTATAATGCAACTATGGATTAATAAAATCTATAAATTATCTGAGATCTTAAAATACACATTGTTGATACTGAATCAGGCTGAAAGTAATTTTTTTTCATAAATTAGAATTTTTGTAAGATATACATTTTTTTCCCAATGAGTTAATTCGTTTGTCTCCCACTATTTAGTCTATTGTTCACTTCTTTAACAAAGTTAAGGAAATGCTTTCATAACTGTATCACTACAAGGACTGCTGTTTGAACAGATTTGTCCAGAAGCATACCTCTAGGATAATTCGTAAACAGCCTAATACTGTTATGTTGAAAATTGTCATCCATTAGGCCAAGAGATTTATTAATTTGAATTTCACGGGTACTTTCAAAAGAAGAACATGAAGAATCTGACTACATTCTTACTGAAAGACAATTCAAAAGATCTGTACTTAATTTCTATGAAAATATCAGAAAAATAGTCTAAACTAAATAGTTAAATAAGTGATGCCTAGAAATCTTGTTCTTCAAAACCACAGCAATCAAAGAAGTAACCAGTAGAGGAGGAATCCAAAAGCAAAGCAAAGTTCTTTTCTGGGCTGCCATTCTAAAAACCTTCATGATTAATTATACTTTTTGGCCAGGTATTTAGGTGACAGTGTTTAATTTGGCCTAATCTGTAAATTAATGGGCTATCTGATGTACTACAGGGCATACTACAATCATGCTAACCACTCCAGCCATGTGACCACTCATTTCTTAGAATATATTTGCAAATAGAATGTAAAGGAAAAAAAAAAATAGAGATTTTTTTTTTCCAGTTTAACAAAATCCCATGTGGTCAACTAAGGTAATGTACATAAATAGCATTTCTTGTTAAAATTCTGGATTCCAGCATCTCATGTGACAAGCACACATTGTTCTACATCAAAATCACCCAGAAAATTTAAGAAATTGCATGGAAAATGCAAATAAAATACTGATGAAATTGCCTCAATTAGCCCCTTTGTGTGAACTTTGAAGATGAATGTCAGGCAATGATGATCACCACCCTCCTAACAGTGTCTAAATTTGAACACATTCTAGCACAGTGCAAGAGGGAATGCAAGCTTACTTTTTAAATAAGTTTCATAATTTCCTATATTACAAATACTAATCTGAGTTCTGGTCCAGAGAGAAGAGCGTGATGCAGTGCAGAAGGAAAACAAAGGGCTGGGGTATTGGTTTCTAATCTCCTTGTGCTAAAATGGCTGTAGGTAAAAGTTCTAAGTCTTTCTCAGGAATCACTGCACCTTTCTTTTCTACCTCCCCCCAAATATAAGTACTGCTTTATACCAGATTTAAATACCCTCAGTATATAGGGTATTTTGTTTTCAAATGCAGCTAAGCCAAGAAAGATTGCATTTTGTAAGGTGACATGTTAAATCAAGGACAATCATTCTTTTAGCAAGCATGATAAGGTGAAGTGAATTTCTTCAGGATGACATCTGCCATCACATTTTGATGAGGAGATAAGCAATACCTAGAGTTTAATCAGGTACCCACTTTTGACTTTCCTGTGTTTCTTGAGGAGTCAAGGCTCTTGGAACATAGCTATTCAAATCTCTTTCCATGGTTTGATATCATTAATAGGCATATCAATTTAATTAATGTTTCATAGAAAATAACAGTGTGGAATTTTAATATAAACTTAAAGACAAAACAGGAAAATATGCCCATGGTCTAGCATTGTTGGGGAAAATTTCATACAAATTAAGCACATCTGACATAATTATACCGAAGATGAAGATGGCTTCCTTCTCTATGGAGGAAGCCAACAATCATTTTAATTTATGTCTCCCTCATGTACAGCAATATAGGCATTAATCTTTCTACCAACTAAATAAGCCTTTTCCCCCTTACCAAAAAAAAAAATGACTTTTTAAATGAAACAGTTATTAACCTTACGAAACATAGACATTTATTCAAGAATTAGTAGGAAAGATAGGTACTTCCTTATAGACAGTTTTTACCACTTAGTTTGTTAATTCTTATGGAGTGGATATTCAAAAAAATCTGGTTATCCACTAACTTCTAATGAAATATTAAAATAGCTTCTCATTGTGTCAGCAGAATCCTTTTTACTAGAATGGAAATTGAGAGATTTCCAAATGTCTGGCACAATTTTACACCAGGAGTACATTCAAGAATTTTTAGAACTGTGCTCCCCACTATGGATAATCTTTAGCTCTCACTATCACTTCAAACATGAATAAAAATTCTTTTCATACAAATCTCTAATTTTTTCTAGAAAAGTCCCAATGACTAAGTCAGTGTAACAACTAATAGGAAGCT